TATTGTGTGTGTATATATATATATATATATATATATAATGTTTTAAAGCAATATTACTTCAAATGTTAATTGTATTCTGTATCCTGATACACCGATCAGCCTTTTGCTGAACAAAGCATTACAAATAAAAACAGCTATGGCTAAAATTAAAGCTCTGGATTCTTAAAGGCTTACATAAATTTAAGGATGTATACAAACTAACCATACGTAGTTCAGATGAATGATATGTCGATGTCTTGGAAAGGTCATCACTGTGTAATGCCGGTCGTGAGGTCATGAACCGTGTCCTACACAAAGCAGGTTGAGTTGCACAGTGGCCCCAAAAGTATTTGAACATTTAAATCACTTTTAAAAAATATCAAAACAAGTGACAAACAAATTAGCTTCTCTCATAAACCAATCTATCTCAAAGTTATTTTTAAAGGATGTATGAAGTCTGTTCACCTCAAATTCACACAGGTGATCCTAGCAAGTAACAACAGGTGCAACTTCCGGTAACACTTTACTTTAAGGTGTCCTTGTTACACGTTACATGTACTTACTATTATAATAACAATTAATTAAGCATAATTACATACAAGTAACCCTAATCCAAACCCTAAATAATCCTAACCCTATAGTAAGTACATGTATTTAATTAATATTACTCAGTACTTAAATGTATAATTACACTGTAACAAGGACACCTTAAAATAAAGTGTAACCCAACTCACACGTTACATGTACTTACTATTATAATAACAATTAATTAAGCATAATTACATACAAGTAACCCTAATCCAAACCCTAAATAATCCTAACCCTATAGTAAGTACATGTATTTAATTAATATTACTCAGTACTTAAATGTATAATTACACTGTAACAAGGACACCTTAAAATAAAGTGTAACCCAACTTCCTAATGTATGATGATTATACTAACTTTGAAAAAAAAGTCAAAATGCTTTGCATAATTTTGAACAGTATGAAAATATTAAAAATATTATATTTTTAAGCGAGGCTCAACTGTCCAAATACTTTTTACAAATATTTAAGCCACTGCACTTTCATTTTTTGTGTATCACAGCCACCATTCAAACTCATTATTAATAGGAAATAGCATCCTCATGTTAACTTATAGAGAAGTTTTATAATACAAATATTGTATTCATAACTTGACAACTATTAAAGGGGCACATTTATCATTTTACAAAGCTGCATTGCATAGTAAAGGAAGGCAACATGAGAAAGACAGTCCTGAGGAACAGCAGGAGAAACTAATACAATAATGCATAATATCCAAGCAAAATCAAGTACTTTGAATACACTTGCGTGAGATTTAACAAGCCAGAACATACAATGGCAACCTTGTCAAAAAGTCAATTCAGAACAGCTGGTTTGCTAAAGTTCACTGGATCAAGTCGCTCTGCTATCCGCTATTTTAGTCTGCCATGCAAACAGTGGCTGTCCAATGCAAGGTTGAACAAAAAGCCAACGGAACGGCACTAATACACATTAAATCATCTTTAAACCATCACAATCATTCATATACATATTCCCTTGATCCCAACAGAGGAAATGATCAAACTTTCTTTAAAAAAAATAAATTAAAGGAAACAAAGAAAAGAGACAGCATGCAAACTTACTGCTTGGGTTGCTGTTTTCAAACCATTTGTCCAAGGATTTCTTAATTCCAAGTAATGTAGCCTATGTCTAATCAGGAGGACAAAAACAAGGCCTTTTCTTTCTCTCCGAAGTTCTCTTTCAGATCTCACACTCAGGCACAGTAAGCTGTTGTAAGACACCACTGGATGAAGGAATTGGGTTGCTGTTTTCAAACCATTTGTCCAAGGATTTCTTAATTCCAAGTAATGTAGCCTATGTCTAATCAGGAGGACAAAAACAAGGCCTTTTCTTTCTCTCCGAAGTTCTCTTTCAGATCTCACACTCAGGCACAGTAAGCTGTTGTAAGACACCACTGGATGAAGGAAAGAGAGACAGACAGAGAGAGAGAGAGAGACAGAGAGAGAGAGAGAGAGAGAGAGAGAGACTAAAAAAAACTAACATTCTGAGGATTCTTGGAAAAATGCCAAAGTCCCAGAATTCTTCGTGCCATACAGAAGGTTTCAATTAAGTCAGACTCCTGTGGCCAATCGGAGAAGATTTT